AAAAAATCCACGCCTATGGCTGTGATAGTCTTTAGAGAAAATTTTTCTTTAAAAAAATCCATGCCTATGGCTGTGATAGTCTTTAGAGATTTTTTTTTAAAAAAATCCACGCCTATGGCTGTGATAGTCTTTAGAGAAAATTTTTCTTTAAAAAATGCACGCCTTTGGCTGCGATCGTCTTTAGAGAATTTTTTCTTTAAAAAAATCCACGCCTATGGCTGTGATAGTCTTTAGAGAATTTTTTCTTTAAAAAAATCCACGCCTATGGCTGTGATAGTCTTTAGAGAATTTTTTCTTTAAAAAAATCCACGCCTATGGCTGTGATAGTCTTTAGAGAATTTTTTCTTTAAAAAAATCCACGCCTATGGCTGTGATAGTCTTTAGAGAATTTTTTCTTTAAAAAAATCCACGCCTATGGCTGTGATAGTCTTTAGAGAATTTTTTCTTTAAAAAAAATCTTTAGAGAATCTTTAGAGAATTTTTTCTTTAAAAAAATCCACGCCTATGGCTGTGATAGTCTTTAGAGAATTTTTTCTTTAAAAAAATCCACGCCTATGGCTGTGATAGTCTTTAGAGAATTTTTTCTTTAAGAGAATCTTTAGAGAAATTTTTCTTTAAAAAAATCCACGCCTATGGCTGTGATAGTCTTTAGAGAAATTTTTCTTTAAAAAAATCCACGCCTATGGCTGTGATAGTCTTTAGAGAAATTTTTTTCTGTGTGTATGTGCGTGAGCTTGTTTGTTGTTTATATAAAATATCCCCAAGGTTGAACAAAAAGTGATATTTTCCTTTGAATGGCATATTGCTGATAATTACAACAATTCGAAAAAAGGCTACTAAATGACAACAACAACAGGAACAAATATTATCCATTCAAATGACATTCAAACGACAATATAACGATGATGATGGTGATGACAACTACAACGACAACAACAACACCAAAAACTACTACTACAAAACCAAAAAAATACCCCTACTCCAAAAAACTCTAAGCCATTTACAGTTGTCGTGTTTGTCAAGTTGTTGCTATTTTTATTGTTATGCAAACCAGACCCAAACCAACTCCTTTTCAAGAAAACTTGTTCATCCTTTTCATGTTTATTTTAAGCCGATTGCTTTGGTGTTGTTGTTTTTCCTGCTGCCTGGCAAGACTGCCTGTCTTCGGCTACCGTTGATGTTCTTTGCCACTGCTGCCGTTTTGCTGTATTTAATTAATTTTCAATTTTCTTTCGTTTCTTCTTTGTCTGTCCCACTCTCACGCAGGACAAACTGGAAGATGTGTCAACACTTCTTCCTGATAAGCAAAATTTTGTGTTAGCAATTTGCTGTGTTTGAAAGTGTTACGGGTTTTTTCTCTATGTCGGACCAATCGTTTCTTAAAATATTCTAATTTCTGTTTGGTACAATCGCACCAATCTAGTGGGGTTGTGTTTCCTCAACGTCTTCTTCTGTGCTTTTAGTTTAGTCTGCCTCAACTATGGCCAATTTGATTTTGTAGTTTTTTTTTGTTTTTTGGGAGTAGGTAGGGAAATTGGAATTAGTTGCTCTAAACATTTAACTATGCTTCCAATTATGCTAACAAGTCTCAGCAACAGCAAACGAAAATTTTCTGTTAATTTGGTGAAAATAATTAAATCCTTCTGTTTTCAATATTTGCGTTTGTTGTTATTATTTAAGAAATGTATTTGCATAACAACAAGAACAACTACAGTGAGACTTAAAAATGTAATTAAAAGGAAAAAGCGAATTATTATTGTAGTGGTTACACAGACTTAAATCTAAAAAAATAAAATTTAAAAGTAAACCAGTACGGAAAGTAGTAAAGTCGGACGGGGCCAACTATGTGATACCCTTCACCACTTTGGGTATATTCAACAGATGGTATCCTAACAGACGTCGCATTTTTGTAGGACCATTAACATGCCATTCTGCAACCTATACTAAATTTTATGTAGATCAATTTAAAGGAAAATATGGAGGTCTAAACCGATTTCATCAAAACTTGTCTCAAGTTAGGTTATACTAATTTTAGTATGTTTTGTGCATATCGGCCACATTATGAGTTCTTGGTGCATCATTTACTTAAAATCGGGAGAAATCTATAAAATCTAAGCTATATCTAAATCTGAACCGACTTTCACGAAATTTAACACACATCAATCTAGACCCAATTCAGTACGCTGTGCCAAATTTCGTGCAAATCGAAGGATATATAGGGACTTTGGTGCACCATTTACATAAAATCGGACGAAAATATATATGGGAGCTATATCGAAATCTGAACCGATTTTTCTGTAACTTACCACTCATCATTCTAGATTCATTTCACGAAAAAAACTTTGTTGCACGATTTACCTAAAATCGGACAAAAAAATAGATGGGTACTGTATCTAAATCTGAACCGATTTACACAAAAATTAAAACACATCGTTCTAGACTTAATTCAATACACTGTGCTAAATTTCGTGCAAATCAAAAGATGAAAAGAGAATTTGGTGCACGATTTACCTAAAATCGGACGAAAATATATATGGGAGTTATATCTAAATCTGAACCGATTTACACAAAATTTAACACACATCATTCTAGACCTAATTCATTACGCTGTGCCAAATTTCGTCCAAATCGAAGGATGTAGAGGGACTTTAGTGCACCATTTACATAAAATCGGACGAAAATATATATTCATTCTAGACTTTATTCAGTACGCTGTGCCAAATTTAGTGCAAATCGAAATATATATAGGGACTAGGGTGCATCATTTACAATAAAATCGGACGAAAATATATATGGGAGCTATATCTAAATCTGAACCGATTTTCCCCAATTTCAATAGGGTTCGTTCTTGGGCCAAAAAAATGAGCTGTACTAAATTTCATCCGAATCGGATTATAAATGCGACCTGTACTTTGTTTACAATTTAACACCAACAGACGGACGGGTGGACATGCATAAATCGACTCAGAAAGTGATTCTATGTAGATTCTCAAAAGGAACCATGTGTTTTTCTCGTTTCGTTTTGCCTGTTACAAACATATGCACAAAGACACAATACCCTGTACCACAGTGTGGTGAAGAGTATAACAAGTATAAACTTGCCGACAAACATCTACCCTTAGACTATGGTTTGAGGAGGTCTTCGGAATTACATACAGGCTTTATCATTCGATTTATATATGGTATATGTTTTTATCAAAGAGGTTTCGGGTTTAATGCTGTTTAAATCGGTTATTCAGTTCACTTAAAACAAAATTTACATATTCATAAAATATTGATCCTTTGTGGGTGAGGTGCCAGAAGGAGAGGGCCGACTGGTCCCATCTTGATTTAGGCTATGTAAAGATAATGGGTTGTGCAAAGTTTGGTTCAAATCGCACATTCCATTCGCCTGATATTGGATTTATACATATTCAAAATTTTGTTCACTTGTGGGGTAGGTACCAGAAGGAGTGGACCAATAGGCCCCCATCGGACTTCATCTAGCATTGGTAAAGATACTAGATTGTGCAAAGTTTGGTACAAATAAGCTGAGCTTATACTAAGTTTGGAAGAAATATTCCGATGTGCAAAGTTTGCTCGAAAACGATTGATCTCTTCGAGAGTTATCGTGCGCACCAGCCGATCAAAAAGACTGACGACGGACATGAATAAATCGACTCCAATTTGTCTGAAACGGCTTTGGGGAAAAGAAACACGAGGTCTAAAACCAACATTTCGATGAGGCAAATTTTTGTAGTATCAAAGTGTATATACCCTCATTAGTCATAAGGATGTGGGTGAGTGGGTATGTAAAAAACAAAATTGGCGAATTTGGGGTTCTGAGAATCATCGTGTAATTGAAGAGCTACCATTACATCCAAAAAGTGTACTCTTTAGTCTGATGGCGTGATTCGACTTTAATTCTTCGAAAATGATGATGGAACAACTGTCACCGTCAATTTGGAGGGGTATAGTCATATGGTAACCTACTTTTGGCCTATTATTGAAGAATACGACTTGTGACAGAATAATTGTTGTCTTTCTGTTTATTTAAAATTTAAACTTTTCAGCAATTAGGCTATTTTTCGATCTTTATCGTCTATGACTATACAACTTTGAATAACAACAAGCTTTCCAAAATAGAATTTTCTAAATTTTTAAAAATTCGTTTTATATATTCAAACCATTTCCAACACCCTCTCTCTCTCTGTAAGCCATCAAAGTTTTTAATTTGTTAATGTTGTCGGAAACATACAGCCCGAAGTTAGCAAACGGATTTTGAAAGAAAACTTGTGTTTAGAATTGTTTGCATAAATGTTACAAAAAAACGAAAAAAAAACCATTGAAAAAATAAAGTTTATGCAAATACTCTAAACTGCGTAAGTGGACAACACAAAAAGAAATAAAAAACGAAAAATGAGAAACAAACTAAATAACACATACACTCGTACAAAAAAGTACAAGGGTCGGAGTTGTTCTTAGCTGAGACTGACTGACGACTAACTAAATCCCTTCTTCTTCTTCGGCTATAATTACTTTTGTAACTTTATTGCTCTTTTCGTTTGTTGTTGTTGTCTTTGTCTTTTGCTGTTGTCACTTGACTTGAAAGATTGACGAAGAAATTTAAATTTAATTTAAACAATGAATAATTTGAGGCATGGACATGGCTGTGGGGAGGGTTTTGGTGGACCTCTAATTTTCTACATAATTTACTCTTAAGATACAACCCCTAGCTACGTCTTTGATTCGAGTCGAGTGTTTTCCCCCTTCTTGGAATTAAATGAAAACATAATTACATTTCGTCGTCGTTGTCATCTTATTATTGTTCTGTTTTGTTTTGTTTGGTCATTTTTCCATTTCAATTTGACTTTTTTCCATCGCTCTATCTCGCTTGCTTTTGTTAAATGTTAATGAATTTTGTAATTATTTATTATTGTCCATTGTTTCTTTGTTGTTGTTATTTTAGGGTTTTAGCTGTTCTCTTACGATGGTACGATTTAATTATTCATAGAACTTACCTTAAATCTAAATATTGATAAACGGATGTTATGCCCAAATTAAAATAGACTGGCACAAATATGAAGCAGACCAAGGGATAGGCACTGGCCATGCCGTAGATTATTTCCCACATGGCTGAGCCACGATAGAACAGCTCACTTGGATAACCTAGAAAGGAAAATGGGGAACAAAACCAAAAATTAGGCGAGATATACACATTGTGAGGTTTAGACGAAATATAAAAACTAGATGATGATGAGAGGGGAAAATCAGCTAGAATCAAGGAGGAACCTATTTTTATAGAATCCATGCCTATTTATACCCTTCAACACACTGTGGTACAGGGTATTATGTCTTTGTGCATATGTTTGTAACAGGCAAAAATTATCGAGATAGACCCATGGTTCCTTTTGAGAATATGCATAGAATCACTTTCGATTTATGTACGTCAGTCCGTCCGTCTGTCTGTCCATGTTAAATTGTAAACAAAGTACAGACGCATTTATGATCCGAATTGGATGAAATTTGGCACAGCTTATTTGTTTGGCCCAAGGACGAACCCTATTGAAATTAGGAAAAATCGGTACAGATTTAGATATATCTACCATATATCTAAATCCGATTTAAGGTAAATGGTGCAAAAATCCACGCCTATGGTCCAGCTAGCCGTTGAAGAATTTTTATGTAAAAAAACTATTTTTCTTAAAGAAAAAATTATTTTAATTCTATTTTTATGGAAGAAAAACATTTTAAAAATCCACGCCTCTATTTGTTGAAGAAAAATTGTATTTTAAAAATTCTTTTTGGTGAAGAAAAAATATCCCAACGCCATTCTCAGCTTGTTTTTATTTATTCCAAACTCAAAATCTAGCTGCCAATCTGAACTGAGAACAAAAGGCGATCGAAAAACACGAATCTTCGATGATTTACACGAGAGGTTAAAAACTATTGTTTTCGGTTGTTTTTGGTGGCAAAGAAAACGCGATGAAAGCAAAATGATGTCAGAAAAGGTCGAACAAAACTGGAAACAAGAAAAAGTTTTGGTTTTTTGTTTCGTTACCCCCCCAAAAACAAGAATCTGACCTATACACAACATGTGTTTTGGGAACACTATTCGATGCTGGTATGTGCCGTACCGAACATGCAATCATTTGTAGCGACAGGACCTAGTCCTGTTGGACAATTTGTTGGCTATGTGTCTAAGAATGAGGGGGAATACAAGCAGCAGAAACTTTTCGCACAACAAAACTTTGTTTTGCCTGTTTTTCTTTATTTTTCTGTTCTCACTGGACCACCCAATTGTTTTTGTACTTCATTTTTTGCTGGGAGGATGTTAATGCTGCTGACTTGCTTAGAGACGTTATAATGCCCTCAAGGATGAAAATAGCTCAAATACAAGAAGATGAGTGGTGGAAGACACAAGCACAGGAAAACACGCAACAAAAAAGTTTAAGAGGTACTTACCCAACACGGTGCGCACACCTAAGGTTCCTCGGGCAATTGATATCATTACAGCCACAATGGAAACACCGCCTGTTGCAAAAACATAATCCGCTTTGCTGCGTGCTTTCTGTTTGCCAAACAAGCGTTTCCATAGCGGTGTGAATACGGTAAACGCGATGAACAAGGCAAACATCACATAATCCCAGCCGAGTGTATGCAGCTCCTTGGCCATGGCTGAAGCTGAAAAATAAATCAAGGGAAAAAGAAAATATAAAAATCAACATCAGCAGTGACATTAAATTAAATTTTGTTGCCGTAATATTGAAAAAAAAGAAATAATGAATTCCGCATTTTGTTTTTGGGTCTTCTCAAAGGATTTTCAAAGTTCATCGGAAAAGTTTGTGGGTGTATGGGGAGAGAGAGAGAGCGGAGTGCATTATTTAGAACCTTTGTGTGCCACCATGTAACATATTTTATTTGAAGAAAAAGTTTTTTATTTAAAATTAAATAAAAAATATTAATAAAATTTAAAGTTTTTATAGAAAAAGTCTAGGGTTCTGATATTTGTTGACGATTTTTGAATGCACTCCTATGGTCCTGATATTTCCTTAATTTTTTTTTAAATTCACGTCGTACTGGTCATGATATGACCCAGATAGCCGATGAAGATTTTGTATAGTGCAAACAGTCGTTGGGATTTTTTTTCTTTAAAAATTCACTCCTATGTTCCAAATAGTCGTTGGAGATTTTTTTCTTTAAAATCCACACCTATGGTCCATATAGTCGTTGAATAGTCGTTGGTGATTTTTTTCTTTAAAATCCACGGCTATGGTCCAAAAAGTCGTTGAATAGTCGTTGGACATTTTTTTCTTTAAAACCCACGCCTATGGTCCAAATAGTTGTAGAAGATTTTTTTTTCTTTAAAATCCACGCCTATGGTCCAAATAGTCGTTACAGATTTTTTTATGGTCCAAATAGTTGTAGAAGATTTTTTTCTTTAAAATCCACGCCTATGGTCCAAATAGTCGTTACAGATTTTTTATGGTCCAAATAGTTGTAGAAGATTTTTTTTCTTTAAAATCCACGCCTATGGTCCAAATAGTCGTTACAGATTTTTTTATGGTCCAAATAGTTGTAGAAGATTTTTTTTCTTTAAAATCCACGCCTATGGTCCAAATAGTCGTAGAAGATTTTTTTCTTTAAAATCCACGCCTATGGTCCAAATAGTCGTTAGAGATTTTTTTCTTTAAAAATCCACGCCCACGGTCAAAATAGTCGTTAGAGATTATTTCTTTAAAAATCCACGCCTATGGTCCAGCTATCCGTTGAAGAATTTTTATTTAATAAGTCCACGCCTATGGTCCAGGTTTCCTTTGAAGAAAATATTTTAAAAATCCACGCCTAAGGCTCGGAGTGTCTTCGAAAAAAATATTATAAAAATCCATGCCTACGGCCCAGGTTTCCTTAGGTCGAAGTGTCTTCGAAAAAAATATTATAAAAATCCACGGCTAAGGCCCAGGTTGCCTTTGAAGAAAATATTTTAAAAATTCACGCCTAAAGCCCAGGTTTCCTTTGAAGAAAATATTTTCGAAATCCACGCCCAAGGTCCAGGTTTCTTTTGAAGAAAATATTTTAAAAATCCACGCCTAAGACCCAGGTTTCCTTTGAAGAAAATATTTTAAAAATACACACCTAAGGCCCAGGTTGCCTTTGAAGAAAATATTTTAAAAATTCACGCCTAAGGCCCAGGTTTCCCTTGAAGAAAATATTGTAAAAATCCACGCCTAAGGACCAGGTTTCCTTTGAAGAAAATATTTTAAAAATTCACGCCTAAGGCCCAGGTTTCCCTTGAAGAAAATATTGTAAAAATCCACGCCTAAGGACCAGGTTTCCTTTGAAGAAAATATTTTAAAAATCCACGTCCAAGGCCCAGGTTTCTTTTGAAGAAAATATTTTAAAAATCCACGCCTAAGGCCCCGATTAATTTCGAAGACAATATTTTAAAAATCCACGCCCAAGGCCCAGGTTTCTTTTGAAGAAAATATTTTAAAAATCCACGCCCAAGGCCCAAGTTCCTTTGAAGAAAATATTTTTAAAATCCACGCCCAAGGCCCAGGTTTCTTTTGAAGAAAATATTTTAAAAATCCACGCCCAAGGCCCAAGTTTCTTTTGAAGAAAATATTTTTAAAATCCACACCTAAGGCCTAAATTGCCTTCGAAGAAAATATTATCCTTAAAAATCCTCGCTTAAGGCTAAGGTTGTCTTCGAGGAAAACATTTTAAAAATCCACGCCTTAGGCCCCGATTAATTTCGAAGACAATATTTTAAAAACCCTCGCTTAAGGCTAAGGTTGTCTTTTAAAAATCCATGCATAAGACCCAGATTGAATTCAATAAAAAATACCGAAAGTCCAGATTGTCGTTAAAGAAAATATTTTAAAAATCCACGATTAAGGCTCAGATTGCCTTCGTAGAAAATATTTAAAACTCCACACCTAAGGCCTTCGAATAAAATACTTAAAAGCTCCACACCTAAGACTCAGATTGTCTTCGAAGAAAATAATTAATTGTTAGGTCACTATAAACAACGCGGCACATAGTAGTACGCCAATTCGTACTGAGTGCGTTCATACCATATCAGATGGCGCCCAATATATTCAAAATGTCTATAAAAATTGTATTGTATAAAAATTGTATTGTATTTAAAAATCACTACTTTATACCATTTTTTGTTAGTTTTTTTTACATCTTTTGTCTAATTCAGTTGTTTTTAGAATCCACGCTTTATGCATAATTTACTAAAACCCAAAAACCAGAAAATGACATTTGTTTACCCATAACAACATATCAACAATAAATTTTACACACTACGAGATCACCCCTAAGCCATTGGTGGGGTGACATGTTTGCACTGCGGCAAACTTATTCTCCCATTCATATGCACACTCGTGCACTTGTGGTCTTCATATCTCATTTTTGTGACGTTGTGACATAACCATTCGTGTTGTAGTGTTTGGAGAGCAACTGCAAATAAAAAGTAAAAGGAAAAACAACAACAAATTGTTTGTTGTAATCTAGTTCTAACATTTAAAAAAAATCTTAAGTTCATTATTTATGAAGTCACGGTTTTTAGTCGTAAATATACATCAAACCACAACTACAGGTCACTTGAGTAAAATGTCAAATGCTATACGAAAATGTTTTATTCAACGAGAGTCATAGAAAGAGATTTCCAATTTTTTTTGTAATGAAATCATAGCAAATACCAGGTGCCATGGTGCGTATGTTTTATTTAATAAATCTTAATTTAACAAGTATACGCATCGCAGGACCCACCATATATGTAATGTAACATTATTCGTTGATACATATTTCTTTTCACAATTTTTTTTATATATTTACGTCCTCAGTCTCTGAAGCCTTTTAAATAAGAGCTAAGAATAATTTTGTTTATTTTTAGGTAAATAGTAACAAAAAATTCATCATCCTACCTTTTTTTTTAATCTCTCTTCCAACATTTCCATTTATTTTCCGACAATGTATTTGTCATTCCCTAGAGACAGCCATGTTAACAAACAAAACTGATTAAATCGACTATATAACCAGAAGAAGAACAAACAAGCACCCACACACACACTCACAAACTAATAGTGACATCTACCACTTTAAAAAACAAAAGCTAAAGTGACACAATAAATCCATCTATCTACCGGACGTATGAGTGATGTAAATATGATGTCAATATTATTAAAGTTGTCGCTCATGGATAACAAACACACACACATACACGGGCAAACAAAAGAATTAACCAACAAAAACCACCACACAGACACACACACATACATGCTCACTGTCTCTCTCCATCACTTATGCTTGGCAAAATCTCAATGGTGTGACCCATCCAGAAGCTGTGACAGGGACAGCTTTTTGAAATACGATAGTGTTCTGTCAACTAAATGATACAACTTAAAATTCCTTTTAATTAATGTCCCCAACACGAACACTCTTGAATGTATTCAACACAAAACTGCACACACATACACACGAACAATAGTCGTTCACATTTGAACAGAAGGTGCTACAAAACAGAAAAATGAAAAACAAGGGATACCAGCGATTTCAAGCACCGGGGGATTGAGGGGGGTTTTCATGAATGCTGGAGTCTGGGGCTAGTGATTGTAAACTAAAAAACAAAAAATATGAAACACCAAATCCAACTGACACTAGTACCATATGAGCCATGTGACATGTGAATGGTAGCTGTAGCCAAAGAACACAACTAATCTCAGCCAAACCCACAACTTGGTCAGTAACGTGCAGGCGATATTGTGTAAAATTCAAAACAAAAAAGCAACAACAACAATGACAAAATGTTATAGTAAAACCAAAATAGCACCTTTAATACCTTTACCGTTGTCACTGGACTGAAGTTGTCACAATTTTTTTTAATGTTAAGTCGTTTTTCTTGCAACAGAATTTATCACTATGAAGGGGTACACCACCATCCATTAAAAGTGAATTTTTATGTTGACTATAGAAATAAACTAAGCCAGGTGAAACAGATTGATTCAAACGTCCAAATTTATTTGTTTTGTAATATAGAAAGAAACTAAATATTTTTTATTAAATATTTATTATAATGTTCGGATCATAATTGTGCGCCTCATAGCGACTAGAAAAACTAACAAAAATGCACCTTCTTTGATCCCATTAATATTTACCGATCAATATCGATCACTTACTCCAGGTTCGAATTTGGTCAGAACCTAACCTACATGCAATATAACGTAATGCAAAATTTCTTCAAAATATAATTTTTGGAAAATAAACACCGCATTCATTATTGGTACCATGTAAACGTTTTTGAAATTCCGATTTTTTATACCCTTCACCACACTGTGGTACAGGGTATTATGTCTTTGTGCATATGTTTGTAACAGGCAAAAGGAAACGAGATACACACATGGTTCCTTTTGAGAATATGCATAGAATCACTTTCTGAGTCGATTTATGCATGTCCGTCCGTCCGTCTGTAGATGTTAAATTGTAAACAAAGTACAGGTCGCATTTATAATCCGATTTGAATGAAATTTGGCACAAGTCACTTATTTAGCCCAAGGACGAACCCTATTGAAATTGGGAAAAATCGGTTCAGATTTAGATATAGCTCCCATATCCCATAGATTTAAGGTAAATGGGGCATCAAAGTCCCTCTATATCTTTCGATTTGCA